TTCAGTTTCGGTTTCAGAGTTTCGATTTCTGTTTCTGTTTCTGTTTCTGTTTCTGTTTTGGTTCCGTGTGCATAGCTGTGTGTGAGCGAAATTATCGAGTTACATTTTGGCAATTTTTGTTGATTACACACACGAACCGCACTTCCCACACTCGCACACACACACTCCTACTAGCTCCCTTAACCCATTACATGCCCCATTCAATTGATTCAACCCGTTGAGTTTTGAAGTTTGGCCCCCGCACTTGTCATAATGTAATGAAAAATAAATAAATCCAACGTGGCCATAAACCTGAGCAGTCATAAAATGTGCGTTTATTGAAATTAAAACCTGGCCAACACGATGGCTACGAGTGAGTGGGGAGGGGCGTAGAGGTTAGGTGTCGAGTCGGAAACGATCATAAAACTAAAACAGAGACACAAACTTGACCGAGGCAAAGTCTTGCATAATAAATGCTAATAAAGCTTTACGATGATGGGTTGGACAAGGGGGTGGGTGGCGGTTCTGCAAACCCAGCTGACCCAAGGACACACACACATATGTTTCCCATCCACCCGAAACTACTACTCTCTCCCGACTTGGGCGCCACGTAAAAGTTAAACAACACGAAATTCCATTAAGCGAATGGATTGCCATTCATAACTGTCCTCGGAAATGTGCATGTGTGTGTGTGTGTGTCTGTCTGTGGGTGAATGTCTCTCTATATGTGGGTGTAAGTGTATTCGTGTAAACAACACCAACTACCAGGGCTACAAAAGTTGCCTGAAAATGAATGGCAACCATTTATTGATATGCAGAAGGGAGGGCTAATAGGCCCTGAAAAAATAAACATAAACAAGGGGGTGGTTTAGCCTGTGGGTAGGTAGGAAACTGTTTTTTTTTAATTCACATAAGGAAATTTTAGGGATTTATCAGGGAAAAGAGGATATAGTTTAACTCACTATTACTATTTCCTGATTACTTACTATAAAAATGGAAACACATCTCTTAGTTTGCATTGTTTTCCTTATTAAACCATCCCAGCTCACTCCTGGAATCCCACAGAAATCGTAGTCTTGATTCCATTTAATATAATCAAAGCTAAACAGGGCTTCAGCTGAATTCCGAGAAGAGACCGAGACCGAGCTAGCAAACCGCAGGCCACCACTAAAACAGGACCGCATCCACCCGAAATACATCCAAATACACACAACACGCCCACACATTCGCACACCCCACCCACACACACACACACATGCATAACTAAGGAGTCCACGGAGGCAAACAAACAAACAAACAAACAAGCAAGACCCCCCTTTCCTCACACATCCCTGGCGCATTGCTTTCATGTGTTTACTTTGGACATCGCATAAAGGTGACCAGACTCTGTGATATGTCATTTATTTTCAGCGCTGGCCGCGCCCGCCATTTGTAAACTCAACCGGAAAATTGCTTTTCTCAGCGCGTTGTGTTTCACTCTCTGCCCCGAACCCTTTTTTTCCGCCAGTTTTCCCTTTAGTTTTCCCGCTGCTAATGGCTGACTAACAACAGGAAAAAAAAAACCAAGGACAATACAAAATATGGCATTCAAAAATGTTTTGTTCTGTTTGGTTTTCTTTTACTCTCTCGCAGAAGCTTAAAAAAAACGGGGAATTTAGAGGAAAACTGTTTACAGTTGTAATTAAATTCGCAATCGAGGGGGCCTTCTATTTAATTGTACGGCATCATCATTATTTCAAGTGGCTGTGTTGGCGAGGGGACAGCGGGGTGCCTAGCCAGCCAGCCATCCAGTCATAGGGGGCGTATACGTGATCGTCGAGGCGAGCTCATAACTCATAATACGTATACGCCCCATCGTCTTGGCCAGGGTACGTGCCAACTGTCAAAAAGCGGCATCCTGCAGCGAGACTTACTCCCTTACTCCCTGTTTGCCCAGCAAGTCAATAAATAAAACATACATATTGATATGGCCATAGCCATGTTTTCCTTAGCAGAGAAAGGCAGCAAGCTTTAAGGCCCTCTGCGTTCTTGGCTTGGCTCTTAATTTTCCACTGCAGCTGCATAAATACAATTGTTGGTCTGCCAATTTCAAACCGCCCTACGATATTTTCCTCACAACTGTCGATTTCCCACACACTAAATGGGCGATAAACATGGCCAAGGAAAAGCCAAAAGTGGGGCAAGTAATATCCAAAATTAGTTGAGATTCCAAGTCAATAAAGATTTGGCTGCTCATAGAAGTGCCTTCTTCTACATAAAGTTATGTATATGGAATATCAGATACCTTTGCTTGAGCTGCTGGTAAGAACAAGTCACTAAGTCAAGGAAATAAAATTATTTTGTCTTGTTTTTACTTCCACATAAGACACATCGCCCTTCAACTCACTTTGACGCATATCACAAGCACTTAAAAGATTTCTTAAGCCAGAAAAAATGTAATTATACTTATTTATAGCTGTCGACCTGCCGCCAGATGTTCAATATTTGCTAAACATTTGAATACGTCAGTATAAATATTTTTCCTTGGCTAATCAATTTGTATCTGCCACCACGACGATGACACTCATAAAATGCGCCCGAAAAAAGAGCTAAAAACAATAAAAATAAGCCCTCAAAGTGGAATTGAAAACAAAAATAAAACACGAGAAATAACAACAATGGCAAATGCTAATCATGAAACAACTATCAACCAAAGCCCAACCTTGACTTTCATACCAAAAACCCAAGCGACAAACCCCGATTCCCCCGCCCCAAGGTCACCCTTTCCCCTCTTGCCAAACTCTGGCGGTTTTCTCTGATCACTGCGCTGGCTTTTGGATTCTTTCGGCCAATTGCCAGGTCGCTTTTGGCCACAAATGGAAACCGAAACTGAACAAGAAACCGGTAAGAAAAGAAGCCAGCGATGCGGCGACATTGACAGGTGGTAATTGATGGGCGAGGGCCGAGTTGTTACTTCGCTTTTTGGCCTTTTGATTAACATTCAATTGGTCGACGAGCCAATTGAAATTTTTGTTGCTCTTTTTTTTTTTTGTGTTTTTTGGATGGTTGGGGGCTTGGCGGGGAGTTGCTGGCGGTTTCTCGAAAGTATGATTAATTTGCACGCTAAGGTGATGGTATTTCGGTTGTTATTTGGGGAATTGTTGGGAAATGGCTGGCACATGCGTTGACTCATATTGGATATTGATATTGAGATATCTGAAAGCTTCGATCAAGAAGGTTTATCCATGTAATTAGGATGTAATAACAACTTATTACCTTTTTTTTAATATTTTTGATTTTGTTTCATTTGATAAAAGTTTTTCATCATGCCTTTCGAGATGAGTAAGTCTTATTTTTACAACATTTTTTGTCATTTTCTGAGATCTATTAATATTTAACTCATCACTTTAACTTTTTGTTGCAATCATTCAAATGGTTTATTAATATTTCTTTTATTTTTTAAATATTTTAACCTTAACATTCACAGTCTTCTTCACAGAATTTTAGAAATTTTAGACTTAGAAGATTTCAGTAAAAATAAAAAATTAAATAAATTTATTCCATAATTTCCATTTGCCAAACAATCGAAACATTTTCCTCGTAAAGCCATTAAACTCGATTGCTTTTCTTTTGGTTGCTGGAAAATTCGCGTCTCATGCAGCAGCCAGATTTTCCCTGATATTTCCTCAAGCTGCGTAACTGGAAAAGCCCCACTGCTCATGGCTTTTCCAGTAGCCATTGGGGGGCCTATCAATTTGCACAAATTACCCACATTCGCCACGATATGTTAATCTCCCTCGCAGATTGCATAACCGGCTGCAGTTTGCCGATGCAGCCAGCAAATTGCTGAAAGATGAGGCAATTGGGTCACTATTGTTTACACGCCGCTGCGCATGCGTCGCTGCCTTCGCTTCGACCGGCCACAAAAAGCCAGAAAACCCAGGCAAAAACGATTTAAAATTCACCAAAAATCCAAACCCAGATATTTTTTTTATTTATTTTTGCTTTCGTATGGAATTTTGTTGTTTGTTGATCTTTCGGCTTTTGAGCTTTTCAAGGCCGTTGAAGATTTCGTGGGACTTGTTGACTTTATCTTAATATCTCAGCGATGTGCACAGTGCGAGGTGCGATGTGCGATGTTCACCTGTCGAACTCCGCGAGACCCCAGAAACTGGAGCAAGGGAAACCGGCTTAAAGTGGTTAATAGAGGCAAAAATGAAGGCGTTGCATTTATTGAAAATATGTTGCTGAATGCCTGTTAGGCTTGTCGAGGTCTGTTCTTGGTTAATTTGAAATTCAGTCAAGGAATATTGATATATCTTAGCCAGGTCATTGGGGAGTCATTCCTTGCTAGTAGTTAGTTTAGATTTATTAATTGGAATAATAAATTAAGTTTTTAATATAGAATAAAATATGCCAATACACATTATCAAACCTTCTGTTACAATAGTTTTTTATCTAATTCAATGAAGTTTGGTTGGCAAAGTTTTTAGTTTTGAAAACTCAAATAAATTAATCGCCCATAAGTTTCACTTTTAAGAATGTTTTAGTTCTTCTAACATTCTTCTCATTTCCCAAAGATATTCCTAGCTACTAATAACTTTCCTTAACCATATTTTCTTTTAAAAATCTTCACAATTTCTGGTTTTAATTTATCACAAATCCCACACATACAGTAATGAAACTCACAAAGTATAACCCATTACATTTTGGCTAAACCGTTTCGTTCAAAGTTTTTGAAACCAATACAGTCTGCACTCCATGTTCCACTTTACCAATTCACCAATTTCAATTACACAATTTTTCGCATACTTTTTCATCACACACTCGTTAAAATCCTTGCCCAACGAACGCGTTAAAAGGCAGAGGTCAGCGGTGGGTTAATGTTAGCGCCGCTTGCCAAACTCACGCAGCCAAAAAAATAAAAATATTTCCAAAAAAAAACATTTGTAACTTGGAATGCAGCACGGCGGCAAAAATATCAAAAAAAAAAAACGTGAAAAAATACAACAAAAATGTGAAAAACAAACAATGAAACTCACTTTCACGTGGCCCGCTAATCAATCGGCCAATCAATCGAGCACTTCAAAATTGATCTATAACACTCGAGTGCAGGGCAATCGAAATCGAAATCGAAACCGAAGCTAAATTGGTTTTTAACAAAAAATAAATCGAAACTAAAAACTGAAACCGAAACTGAAATCTATTTCGGCCGGCAACTTGTTAACTTGGTTACTTGGTTTTGGCGCACGCGAAAGAGAACTAAACGCGAGCGGCGGCCAAATTGTTTAAACTTTATGCAGCCTCAAAAACACTACAGAAAAAAACATAAAACTGACGTTGCCGTCGACGCTGGCAGCGACCATTTCAAAGAGCCAAACGAGGCGGTACAGAGCCCAAAACCTGAAACCGAGGCGCCGGCACAGTGAACATGAGACGGAGTATGTGGGTAATTGGATACGAATTAAAGGCTTTTCAAAGAAGTCAAAAATGTATTTCAAAATTAACAAATAAATGCTTTTTTTAGGTTTTACATTCACAAAGTTTGACAAAAAATAATTACCTTTAAAAACATATTTAAAATATTTATTGAAAACATACATTAAAATATAATTTATGGGATTAATTATAATTATATTTTGATCACTTTTTCAAGCCACTACAACCACTGTGCCAAGCTTGGCTTGAGAAGTGCAGTCAAGTGGACGTCGCCGCAGACAGCAGCGTCAACGCTGACAGAGGCAGCGCTGCTCTTACGAAGCTGCAAAGTAAACGCTGTAAACGGCACAGGCTGCAAATGCTGCGGCGGACAACAAGCTGGCCAAGACGACGGCAGAGAGGCAGGTTAAGAGCTCAGCTGACGCGGCTAAATGCTGCTGGCATTGCATAACCTCTGGGTAATGGACGGGCAACAGCACCAGAGCCAGCCTTGGCCAGAGATCAGAAATCAGGCTGTGAAATCGGTGAACTTTGGCTAGCTTAGAACTAGAGCTAGCTTTTTGGAAACAAGAACCCATTTGGAAGGCCCATTAAAGACATTAAAGTCTAAGCATTAGAAATAGTTATGATAGAGCGACGAATAAATTCAAATAAATTAAACGCCCAACAAAACACTTACAAAACGTTCCGCAATTTATAAAGAAAGAAGCCAGCGAACCAGCAATTTTTGTTTGTTTTTCTCTTTGTAAATTGTAAGCGACAGCAATGACTTTTTTAGTCGCGTTTGTTGCTTTTGTTGGTTTTGTTGTTTATGCAATAATCGCACTAATTGAAACGTTTTGTCAGGAGCCACGGCAATAGCAACAATGGCGATAACACCATCAAACACAGAGACAAAAGACCTCCCCTCTATTACCCTCTTTTAATTGCCTTCATTTTTATGATAGTGCAAAAATAAAAACTAAAAAAAAAGCAAAAGGAAATGCTTTTAAAAAAACGACACTTTTTTCGCACTTCACTTTTTGGATAAAACTAAACATTTTTTTGTGATATGTTTATCACAATAGCAGCGGCAGCAGCAGCAGCCAAAACGAAACCAAAAAGCAAAAAGCAAACAGCTGAAAATTAAATAAAATAAAAACATTTTCACTCCGGATGCGCTCGCAATGTAAGTTTGGGCACCGACATTCAAAAACCGGAACCGAAATGCTACAAATCCAACGAAATTCATTCAAACAAAGTTGGCCCAGACTCTTGACCGGGTTATACCACCCATTGAGGTTGATAAAAATATGGATATGGAAAAGATATCTAGAATATATTGGGAAAACTAAAGAAGATATCTGCCTTCTTCTTAGCTTTTTTATATATTAAAACCTCTTAAAACCCAAAAGCCTAATATACCCCTGGCCATCTTAATCTGTACATAATCATAAAACACAAAAATAAATCTATATTTCCAATACATTCTGCCACAAACTTTGAATAAAATCCTTTGCCAAACTTCCTTTACACTTTCTTGGCTGATTAATTAACTAAAGTCTAGGCCCAAGTTGGGTTTGATAATTGTAAACGAGAGAGCCAAATTGCAAAAAATGGTCTCAATTAAGCTCGACTGCCTGCCTGTGTGTGTTTGTGTGTGTGCAAACAACAAAAAAATTTTTATTTAATTAAAATACTGAAAATAAAAGTAACAGCACCCACTCCCAGCGACACATTTGCAGATAAACTTTTATGGCATTAAATGCTAAAATTCCGACACATGCAGATGCAATGAACTAACGCAGACACAGAAAGCCACCGCACCATCCACCGCCCAGATGCCACGCCCATTTGGGTTATAGGGCTTAGCAGATATTTACCAAAAGACAGGGACAGTTTTTAGAAATTTTGCAGCAGACAAAGGAACTCCAAAGTGTAAGTAAAATAAATAAATGTGTAAAAATAAAAATAAATCATAAAAATACAAAATTAAATCAATTTTATTTTAATTTTCTTTACTCGAAATGTATTTCTTATTTAAAAACAAAGTTGCTAAGCTGCCATTATTTAAGATTGGAAAAAATTAAAAATCCAATCATAAATGGCGGAGAATATTTGGGGGAAATTGTAATTAAATATTTATGCGATTTAAATTTAGCAATTCGAGAGTATCCTTTATCCTGGTCATCCAGCATTCAGCATACAGCATCCAGCCGCCCATCGCTCTAGATTTGGCCAGTTCCCTGTGGGCCGTGCATTGTGCAGTCGTATTTATGCATTTGTTTTGGGCATAAATGAAATATGCATATCGTAATATGCAGTTGGTAAAATGTCGGTTTTCGGTATTTGTTAAAGTATTTTGTCGGCCTTTTCATATTATTGTTTTTGCTTCCGATCCACCGGCCACCAAACTTTATTTCTCAATATATTCCTGCATTTTTAAAATATATTAATTTCCCAACGAGAGCCAAAAAAATGTTTGTGCCAAATTCGGAAACAAATGCAGGACAAGTTGCATGCTGCCACTTTTTGTTGCACTCTTGCACTCGTTGGATTTCATTTCGATTGTCGAACACAAATTTCCCATTGCTTAGTCTCACTTTTCTTTTATTTTCTCCATTAGTCCATTAGTCACATTTTTGATAAATCACAATTTTCAGCCTGAGCTGGTAAAATTCCTTGAGTTTGGCAATAAAATCGCATATTTGGCCAATTGCCCTAATTGGGTGAGTTATTAGGCGACTCGGTTACATCTTTCATAAATATGAAAGTTTTAAATAAATTCTGACTGTTAACACTCATAAATAAAAGGCATATAAGTTAAGCTGGCATATGGCAAAGCCTTTGAGTTCGCTATTTGGAATTTTAAACCTTTGCAAGTCTTAATTAAAGTTTTGAGTTTTGGGAAAACTTTAACATAAACTGTAAGCTTAGTCTTGGCTGCCTGGTAAATTCAACCTATAATTATTCCCTATATTTTATTTACAGATTTTTCTGTTCTTTTCTTAAGGGCTTAATAAGTTTCTCCTGAATTTAATCGAAATTAAAAGCGAAGTTCAAGCAATTCTCTTTACAAAGGCTTAATTTTTTTGAAGATTTAAATAACTTTTTACCTTGTAATTTAATTATATTTTTAATACAATTTTTTGAGATTTATTTCATTTTTTTAACCAAAACTCTTTCACATTTTTCCTGCCTCTGAAGCCCCCTTGCCTTCCAGTACTTCCAGTCCCACCTGTTGCTTTCCTCTCTGGCGCTCTCTCAGTGGAAGAACTCACCACAGCCGAACTCACCTCCACCACCTTCCACAGGGCACACGAAGTAGACTCCTTCGGCATTCGCCTTCAGTTGCTTTGGGCCTTTCGAACCAGCAACACCCATGAGTTTCACAACAATTGAATTCCTTCTTCTAAGGCAAATTGGGAAAACTACTAGCGATTGGGAGTCCCGATTGGGCTGCCTTCGGCCCCAGCACTCGTACATAACAATGAAAATATAATTTTAGTGCCTAGTAAAAATCCATGGCCATGGATAAAACTGTTCGTTACGCTTCGCCTTCCCTTGCTCGCTCTGGCTTTGCCATTTCCACAGTTTTCCTTTGCGTGCAGTCCAAAAACAAAGGGGGGGGGGACATAAAAAACGGGCAGAAAAATGTAACCGAAAAAAGATTATTATAAAAAAGCCCGCAAAACCGAAAAACCAAGAGGGAAAAACTATGAACATTTAGCTGAGAATGATATCGGGGCATGTCAAATTTAATTTCACGCTTTGCTAGTTCCCTCTAACCCGGTCAGAAGTATTAATAAAAATGAAATTCTAATAAACCATTTTTAGGGAAATCTTTGGTTGTAAAAAAAGAGAGGCGAAACAGAGATTTTTCTATATTTTTATGGGGAAAAGCGATTCCTTTTTTTATGTACTGTTTGACTACAAAATCGGATTTATTTTCAAAGTTTTTTGTTATCTTTTAAATATGTTTAAAGATATTTCATTTTTGGCTTCTTTTTCTTTACATCTGAAAATGTGTTTACTTTTCAGAAACTTAAAATATCAGAAGTTATGTTTTTCCTTTCTTAAATTTTCAAAATATCGAAACAAGTGCCAAAATCGCTTACTTCGAATAGTTTTCCACCCTCGAATACTCCGAAATTCGTGGACGGATTTCGGCGAAAGTTTCGGATGAAAGTGAAACTAATTTTTATTTATGCGCGAGCCAAGAACGAAAGGGGATAAGTGTTTCGTTTTGGAGGGGGGGGAAAGAGATGGTGAGGCAGACAAAATTGCCCAGCATTATGCCAAAGAAAATTGCCAACACAAAGAGGAAAACTAAAGGAGATGGCGGAGACACACACACATGTATATAGCCGGAGCTTGGCCATAAACAATGAAATTTGTTGCTCACTTTTATGAGTTCCTTCCCTCAAACACCAGGGAAAGTGGTAGTGGCTGGTGATGGGGCAGCATCAACATACTCGCCTGTTGGCTGCTGAGTCCTTTTAGCCAATTTTAGTGTCTTACAATTTTCCGCATTGTCTCCGTTTTTGTGCTTATCCATTTCCTCCTGCCCTTGATAGTTCCCCTACACCTACCCCTCCCCGATGTATTTTCCAGCACTGCACCCCTTTTCCGTTCACATTTTCCTGGCCACTTTCACGCCACTGTCATTGCTAAGCTTAAGTTGTAGCAGTTGGTTGTTAGTTGTTGGTTGCTGCTTGTTGGCCTTGTTGCTGTTTGGTTAAAAGCATTCTTAGCCCCAGGCCAGCAAAACCATATCCACCGGCAGGGCAATGCCAAGGGGGCAAGGATGCGAAAATCACATATAACGGAGATGGCTCCGTGATGGATAATTGTACGTACTTTCGAAA